CAACAACAACGGCTGAGAATATCATTCCCACGACAACCGGTTCTAGGTTCCGGACGGACTAGGGTTTTTCCCAAACAAGGGCTGGGCATTGAGCCCAACCCGGACCAGAAATCTACTTCTGCTGTGTCTGCCGGAGACAACTTCACTCCACTTTGGTTAGGTGCAACATCTGTAATGGATGGAGTCACCTGAGAATCTCCTCGGGTATTAGGTCTCTGTTGTTGTTGTTGTTCCCAGTCGTAATTTGCGTCCGTTTGCCTTAAGCGGAAGGGTTTTTGGTGCGACCGCATTTATAAGCAGAGCCTCATTAAAATTATTTCTCAAATTTTTTAGACTTATGGTAAAAACATAGTGGAGCGGCGAGCAAAGCGAAGAGCTAGCATCGAAAAAAGCTTCAATTACAAACGTGTATGTACGCTTTGCCGCTGTGGTGTAGTGGTAAGCAGTGCGCGCATTCACTCATCAGCACCTGGGTTCAAACCCTGGTCAAAGCAACATCGCAAAAAATATAGAAAAAGGTTTTTTCTTAACAGCGGTATTTCTGCCATAAAAAACAGCTTCTCATGAAAATACAATCGCCGTTCGGAGTCGGCGTAAAACGGTAGGTCCCTCCGCTTTGTGTGACAACATCAAGGCGCACGCCACAAGTCGGAGGAGAAGCTCGGCCAAACACTAACATAAGCGCCAATCTATTATTATTATTATTATTATGTACGCTTTGCTCTTCACAGGAAACAGGGAATTCTTGTACCTAGTTTCTAATTTGGACACGCGAATTGCTATTTGCTATTGTTCCGTTCTGTACAATATCATTGNCATATGTTTAAGCGCCAATCTATTATTATTATTATTATTATTATTATTATGTACGCTTTGCTCTTCACACGAAACAGGGAATTCTTGTACCTAGTTTCTATTTGGACACGCGAATTGCTATTTACATTTCACATGTCGCGTTATGGCTGCGACCAATTGTTCCTTTCTGTACAATATCATTGAACCCAGAAGAAGGTCAAATGTATCCTTTTACATTAAATAACATAAATAAACAACTAATACATTGCGCATTACATCCGATCTTCTTAAAATGTAATTGCCCTACACAGCATTACACTTGAACCATTGTTACTACAAATCAACTACCTAGAATTATACCGCTTTCAGTTTTTTTTCTTCCAGTTATCAAATAATTGGTCTCATCTTTCTTGTAGGGAAGCTTCGATCATAAAAAATACCAAATGGTTACTGATTTATGAGTTAAATTAAAGTAATTAAACATAACTCAACTTACNCGATCTTCTTAAAATGTAATTGCCCTACACAGCATTACACTTGAACCATTTTTACTACAAATCAACTACCTAGAATTATACCGCTTTCAGTTTTTTTTGTTCCAGTTATCAAATAATTGGTCTCATCTTTCTTGTAGGGAAGCTTCGATCATAAAACATACCAAATGGTTACTGATTTATGAGTTAAATTAAAGTAATTAAACATAACTCAACTTACATAAGTCTCGCTTACCTCATTTCGCAACACGCTCTCTGGCACATTCTTCTCCATAATCTGCAATTTTTTCTCCAACGAATTGATGCGATGAAGCAACTGATCCTCAGCAATGAGAGACTGCCAGCACAGGGCCGAATTTTTTCGTGTGGCATCCAAAACATTTTGAATATTGAATAATTTCGATTTTAGCGCCTTTTCCCGCTGCGACACCTCTTGCATGTACAAGTTCAAGCGGTGCATTTCCTCGTAACTGATACGGCCTTCACCAGAGTACTGAGAGCGTTGGGTGGTCGTATCGATTGATATCGCCTCACGGCCATCAGGCAAATATAACTTTACAAAAGCGATAATACAACCATGGACCTCTTTGCGCGAATTTTCCAGTACATCGACGCCGAATTTGACGATATCGCCGAAATGTAGCTCAGCAGCCTCATTGCCTAGTTTATTTTCGTTAATGAAGGTGCCATTCGAGGACTTTGTATCTTTAACCCAAAATTTGCCATCATCGGTGTACCACAGCACTGCATGGTTGCGCGATAGTACCTTGCAATCGAATATTGCGTTTGACTCGGAAGCTTTACTTTTCGCTATTAAACGTCCTACTTTGCATTCAATGTTTGGCGTGAGGAATATGGTGCGTGTCTGGAAGGGGTGCGAGTTAGCCTCGCAGAACAAAATAATTTTCGCCTGGCCATTACTTTCCGTTGATTCTAGATTCATACTTATGTTGGTGCTGCTACCTACATTCTGTGCAACATTTGTGGCGTTATTGGCCATATTCGATTGTGACTCAATCAGACCAGCGCAGAAAGCCGAACTGAGCTCTTTTACGGTCTGTTGTAGTGAAGCATTATTACCTAGCCCTATATCCAATGTACTGAGGAAAGTGTTTGGTAAATTTCCGACGGCTGGTGAACCAGAAATACTGGCATTTTTGCTAGCGTTCATAACCGACTGCAGTGCGCTGCTCAGCGCTTGCGGAGTAATGGGACAGCTCAGCGGCATGTGATTGCCTGCATTCGATTGGCGTACAATAGCGGATTGTAGGGTACTTGCATTTGAATTCGGATTGGAATACAAATTGGCATTATTAGTGTTGATATTTGCATTCACACCTCCACAGCTACCACTGATGCTAGCATCAATATTGCTGTTGGCATTTGCATTAGAAATTGAATTTGCATTTGAAGTATCACAGTTCAATACTTCGGTATTATTATTGACAAACTCTTGAGCATTCGGGGTATTCACATCATTTAGACTAACTGCCGCTGGCAGAGCATCGCTGATGCTGCTCTTTTGATTAACGGACGGTTGCTGCATTGGCTGATGTGCTTCGTTAGCTGAATTTTCCGACATAATTTCGTTATTTACGCTGAATATGCGCGTTGATGTAACTGATGTGATTATGCTCGATGTTATTGGAGTTACAATCTGTGTCGTTGTGGAAGCTGGCGTGGAGCCGACAATCTGGTGGTTTGGTGGCGCGGGTGCGGCTGTGGTTGCAGTTGTTGTTGACGCTGTTTGTGAATTCCCCGAAGCCGACTTTTGTTCATCTTCGCAAGTGTTAAGCCATTCGTTACTGGCTAAAACCATACCTACAGTGAAGGGAAAACTGGATAAGTAAAATATCAAACATGAAGTATTTTACTATTTCTTAACAAATTAAATTTAAAGAAGCAGGGGGTGGTAGTTGGATAGTAGTGGCAGTGCAATACAGGTAAATGTGTTTTCAACTTCAAAAGTACCAATAGAAAGGTGCACAACTCCTGATTCCATTCGAAAAATATAAAGAAGCCTACATATGTATAGTATATGCACATACATACATACATATAAATATATAGCTGATTTGAGGTTAGTTCAGCAAGCCCCTCAGCTTTCGAAGGGGAATGCCATTGACTGTATATTTACAAACAACCATCCTTAATTTTTATGAACGACTAAATTGCCCACACTCCTACCCATATGTACGTAATATGCATTCATTTATATGTATGTACGATATAACTCAAATATGTATAGTATATATGTATAGTGGTGTCATGCAAACAACTAAATTTTTAGGAAACCGCAATTGCCAAAGCCATTGAAACTTAAATGTAAGTTGAGAAATCTTTATATTTAAAAACATCAAGAGGCTGAGTAAAAATGTGAGCATACATACATATGTACATACAAATGAAAGAATATTGAGACATAGTATTCAAAAACTGTTCGTTATCCTGAAAATTTTAGAAACTGGGTATTGGTAATTAACCATATTAAAATGAAGGTCTTCCCTCAATAACATTTATCTACTCATACAACAATAAATTATGTTTCATAAAAGCAAATTTTAACAAATAAAACCAGACGCTTGCTATATACATATGTATTTGGTACTCCACCATAATGTAGGTCAAATCGCCCATAACTGTGCATAATTTAATCCCATAAGAAAAACAAAGCGATAAATTAGCAAGACATGGATTTAATAAAAGTGTAAAAATTACATATTCTGAATAATGTATAAAATCCATGCTATTTGTGCAAAAAAATAGTATGCGATTTTGTTATACCATCCTACAGCGTGGAATGTGCAATTTGAAGCGTGAAACATGTAGTTCGTTCACTGACCAGTTCCGTGCCTGCAAGACACATCATAAAGTTGCTTTCGTTCAGCATATTTCCGCTTCTATTGCACTCTCATTAAGGTTGTTGTGCTGCCCTTTGCACTCCACCCGTGTCTTTCGATGGAGTCAATTACAATAGGACAGTCCGATTGCTAACTGGCTATAATTTTAATGTTGGAGACAGTGTGAACGAGCGATCACTATGTTGTCGTTGAAGCGTAGCGTTTTTCTGCTGCACAGAATGACAATGTGAAATTCTTTATTACGCACAATAGATATAGAAATATTATATAGCGATGGTGGCACAAGCACAAGTACATATGTACATATTGTAACAACCAATAAACTGGGTGGTAGCTTGGACGGCTATAAGAATCACCCGTGCACTTGGTAAGCACTCTCATTTCAGCTAAAAATGTACAAAAAATTCATTGCATACCATTAATTTAGTTTTAAATGCTTAATTGAATTTAATTGCACTTGTGACACAAACGTTGTTATGGACAACTACTGCTGTTAACACTTTATTCCCTCCCTATTTATTTAGTAACACTCTAATATTATCCTTTTGCCTTCTTCAACAATTTTGGGCAAACATACTTGGCAATGTTTACTGTATAAAGTTTTTCTTCCTGGTTTTTTAGATATTTTTATTTGCCTGTAATTTTTCTGTTTTCGTTTGATCGATTGCATATCTCTTTATTGGTATTTGCTTTTTACACTTGACCATCTCGCATTTCGCTTTCTATCATTCATCCGTTCCTTGAGCTTATATTTTACACTGTGCTCCTCACCTCCGCCGATGATTCTATATTCCAGCTTTTTCTGCCTGTCTCAGCCACTACTGCTGCCACTGCTGAAACAAAACATCGAACATACACCTCACGTACACACACTCACCTCACAATTCGTTTGCAAAACTTGTCACAATTAATTAGAAACAAATGAAATTTTGTAACTGAATATAGTTTATTAAATAGTTCGCACATAAAACGCAAAATTATTCTATTTATTCGTATTTTTTTTAGATCTTATAATATTCACAGGAATTTTCAGTCGTTTCGTGCAGAAAAGAAGAGATTGAATGAAAAACGTAACAAAGTGTTGCCATGCTGTTTACAGTAGAGCTGTAAAAATATCGATGGTACTATCGATACTATCGAATGGTTCTATTTTTTTTGCACTATCGAAAGGTCGTTGCCACTATCGATAGTCTTTGTTTGAGGAAATATACATTTTGTTTAGAGAAAAATAAAAGGATTTTGGCAAAAGTTTGTTGATTTTAGTTAAATAAATCATTTATTTCAAAGCAAGTTTTATTTATTTTGAAGGTAAATCTAAGATGTGGAAAGTGAAAAAAAAACGAAGTAAAATGAAGTGACGAAGTCAAGACTTCCAAACAGTGTTGCCGCGTCCGTAAAACAAAATTTAACAAAATCTTTCAAAAATTTCAACAAATCCCGTTAAAATTAAGCAACTTATTTAACGGGTCTTAATAAAACGAAAAATGCTTGTAGTTACTGAGTAAGTAAGTAAGTAAACGCTATCTAAGGCAGAGTTTTGTCGCCAAAGGTAAGGATCTTATAGTCTAACAGTTGCTTATTTTGAAAACTATTACACATTCTTTCAGGGTCTCAACACATACTCCTATAATGGTTAAGGGCGTGTTGATCTTGTCACGAAAATGAAGGGACCTAAAGTTCTAAGTCGCCTCCGAACGGCAAATGGTTTTTTACGAGAAGCGATTTCATGGCAGAAGTACACTCGGAGGTTTGAAAATGCGACAACCGCAGATCGAGAATTGCGTAGAGCACCATTTACTGGAACTTTATATGGGATCTGGATTACAGTCTTCCCAAAATAAATTTGAAAAATTGATTGAAATAGTAACTCTTCTGACTATAAATTTTAGAGGAATTGTCCTTTTTGACTATTTTAATAAACAAATTTAGCAAAACGAAGGAAAGTTTAACATTTTAACACGCAGGAAAAAATTAATCAATTTTGCTTAAATTTAAGCAAAACGGCAATGCTGCTTCCAAAGTGAAGTGAAAAACTTCAATTGAAGTGACAGCAGCAGCACTGCCACTTGCTGATTGCCGAACTGTCAAATTTCGATTATCGATAACTCTACAGCAACTGACGAGAGTTGCCATTCGTAATAAAAATTTTATTTCCAGGTGCGTTGCCAGCTGGTTGTTGTTGTTATTGTAGCAGCATACCAATTCCCCAAAGACTTTTTGGGAAGTGTTGCTGGAGTGACAGTCCTTGGCCAAATATAAATCTGGGTCGTTCCGGTTACGTAGACCCGACTGTCGTGGGAACGTTGCCAGCTGGTATCCGACCGTGGTTGCGTTGCTATTCGCAATCGACCCAGCAAATTGTAAGGGACATGTTTGCTTTTAAATGGGGATCTGTTCTAAACAGCTGATTATTGTTTACATTATTGTTTTTGACACACTATATTTGACGGAAAATGCTAAGGACGCAATTTTTCCATTTTTGCAAGGTATTTTGTTATCAAATAAGAGAGTTTTTGTCCAGAATAACACATAATCCTTAGCGCTCTCTAGCCACCCAACTGACTACAAAACAGAAGGAGCTGATGGCACGTGGCCTGCCAAAACGAGCTCCTCTTCCTGGAGTAGCGAACATTGTGGTAGTTGCTTCAGGGAAAGGGGGTGTAGGTAAATCAACTGTAGCCGGTATGAATGTGGCATAAAAACTTTAAAAGGAAAATGGCTAAATTATAATGATCTTTTCTTAAGTAAATCTTGCTGTTAGCCTTGCAAACAAGGGAAAACGCGTTGGATTATTGGATGCAGATATTTTCGGACCGTCCGTTCCTCTGATGATGAATATTCATGAAGAGCCTTTGATTGATGAACAAAATTTAATGATACCACCTATCAATTATGGTGTTAAATGTCTATCCATGGGACTGCTCGCCAGACAATCTGATGCAATAATTTGGCGTGGCCCACTAGTAATGTCAGCAGTTCAACGACTATTGAAAGGAGCAGTGTGGGCACCAATTGATATACTCATTGTAGACACGCCACCTGGCACTGGAGATGTGCATCTATCGCTTTCTCAAAATGTTCCTATTACAGGTGTCCTGCTGGTTAGCACTCCGCAGAAGGCCGCGCTAGAAGTTACACTCCGTGGCGCAGAAATGTATCGAAAACTGGGTGTTCCGATTATTGGTTTAACAGAAAATATGGGCCATGCTATTTGCGGGAATTGTCAAACACGTTTGGAAATGNACACTCCGTGGCGCAGAAATGTATCGAAAACTGGGTGTTCCGATTATTGGCTTAACAGAAAATATGGGCCATGCTATTTGCGGGAATTGTCAAACACGTTTGGAAATTTTTAAAAATGCAACAGAATATTTCACAAAAAAAATAGGCACGAAGATATTGGCTTCCATTCCATTGGATGGAAATATTACCGAGTGCTGTGATGAGGGTGTACCCCCTGTGATCAAATATTCCGGGACTGAATACGCGAAAAGCTATCAACAGTTAGCTGAATATATCATTCGGACACTGGAGATAAGTGGACCAGACAAACAGGAAGCGAAATAATATGCCTATGTACAAAATGTTTACTTTTATTTATTTACATAATTATTTCTACTTAATTAAAAAAATTAAACTCATAAGCATAACCTACGACTTATTTTTCTTCTGTTTTTTCATTTTTTGCATAGCTTTTCGATGTGCGTATTTTTCACGACGAACAATCACTTCCTTAAATTTTCGTTTTGTATAATTTTTAGCAGTATCATCTTCTAGCAAGTCATCCACCAATGAACGTTTTTTGTGGCGCGTGCCACGTTCACTATAGTAATCCAAAGGCGAATGTTGTACAGTGCCGATCTGGAACAGTTAAGTTAGTATTTACAAGATGTAAGAGACAATTTTTTTCTTAGGTATTTTTGACGGTTAGTATACATAAGTACGGATATANTTGTACAGTGCCGATCTGGAACAGTTAAGTTAGTATTTACAAGATGTAAGCGACAATTTTTTTCTTAGGTATTTTTGACGGTTAGTATACATAAGTACGGATATGTATACGTAAGTATGAAATCATAGTATTGCAATTGAGACTTACTTGGAAATATTTAGGCAGAACTTTAAGATCGTTTTTCTTGTAAAAGTGTTTTGGATCTAGGACAGAACGCATTTGTAGAATTTTTAGCTCATTTGTGGTTTCTTCCGTTTGCTCTGTGGCAGGCAAATTATACCATCCAGGCCCTTTAGTCTTGGAACGTTCAATCTTGGTGAAATTAATAATAGAAATTTTTGTAAAAACTCCCCAAATGGTACATATAAAAAGACCGATATGTACATATATTATTCAGGTTACTAAAGAGGTCATCAATGTGTACCATTGGGCATCTAGGAAGGTTTCATTTTTAATACTAGCATAACATTACGTTTCAATAATAAAGAAAAATATGTGTGTTCTAATTTAAATCACCGGCATATAACTATCTGGCCGTTGACAGTCTAATATTGTAAACATTACTGTCCCGCTGGCCTTACAGCAGTTGTCACTAGCTCTGACACAACTACTAAGATTACAACGGGTGAAACTACTGTTTTGCTAAGCATTATGTTCGAGTCTTTCGTATGAAACCCTCTTTAGGCAATGCGTCTTGGTAAAGACTTAAGATGTCGAATATGTCATCATTTTTATAGTAGTTAATACATACATACATAGGAATATTGTTATGAATTTTACCCTTTTGATATCGCGAAGCTTCTTTTTATTAAAAAATGGAAGCTCTTTAAGTCTACCAAAACCGTCCACCAACTGCGATTTTGCCATTTCCTTCCCAACATCTGTTTTTACTTGGTGCTCCACATCAAATTTGCCGGTTGCTGGGTTATAATCGGAGAAATCCATGGTTTTACAATTTGTTTTAGAATTTTTCTTAGGATGTTCCGCCATTCTTAGTATTGTTGCATCTATCTTTTCCGTTAGTTTATCTAACTCTTCCTCGAGTTTAGTTTTGGGTGATGTTAGCTTCGGAAGCTCCTCCCGTATTATTTGTGAAATGTCCACGTTGGGTGGTGGCAAACCTACAGATTACTCATATATGAAATAATGCAATATTTCAGTTCATCAACTTACCAAAATAATCTTCATCATCTTCATTATCTCTGCTTTCATCAGATAATGCCGTGCATTTTATAACCTCGAGTTGGCTTTGTCTGGTGGTTTCTTCCAACGTTCGCCACAATTTGTTCTCAACCGCAGCTGTGCCGTGGGATTCGCGTTCTAACAAATTTGTGTCACCTGTAGAGTCCAGTACAAATAAAGACATATTTTTATTAGGTTATCTTAATTAATTATATGAGATAAACACAATGAACATAAAAAGCGCACGCTATCCGCGAAATTTTGTAGGAAATAGGGATGCAAACGATGCATCGATATTTTCAAAACATCGTTAGTTAACATCGATGTTTTGCTGGACGATACATCGTCGACAGAGCTGCGTAAATGCAATTCATTGGCGCATATACATAGTCATATTTAGTACGCAACTAAGTCGAAACTATTCTAAGCCACAACTAAAACTATTCATAGTCGCCTTAGTTTCGACTTTTCTGGCTTAGTACCAACTTACTGTCAAACTACCAAATTGCCGGCAACAGATGGCAAGATATAAGCTCTGATATATATTGCTCTCGAAGAGCAATGAGCGGTCTCCATTGGCAAATCATATTCTGACATAGTTAGACCTGCTTATCAACTCACCCAATTGTGTTATTTGCATCTTGTATATATACTGAGAATTAAAACGGCATTCCGGTCGACTCAAGCGGTTTGCCAAACTTAAGAGCTAAATAAATCACACAAGCTGCTGATTAAATCTACTTTAGTATTTTTCCATACACTTTTTTGTATATGAAAAATAAATTTATTATTCATAATAATATTCATAAAAATCGATACATTCCTAGTTTCATATCAACTTTGTTGCTGCTTGTTTCTTGAAATTGTTGTTGCATTTTCTTGTTTGTTTACATTTTGTGCTGAACAGCTGATTGTTTTTTGGTGGGATTTGGATTAAACCAATCAATCTTGGTTGTTCGGTACCATGTATTTTTGGTTCATGATCGCGAAAGTCTAGGTTCAGACAGTCGGCAACTCGTGACGAGGAAGAGGGAAGGGCACCGAGAAGTTGCTGAAAATGAGCAACTAAAGTTTCTCTGTGTAAACCCAGTCATAGAGACCACCATTCATTGATAGTCGTGACAAATTGAAACTATCGATAGTGCCATCGATAGTTTTGCAGCTCTGTCACATAGTACAAAAAAAAAAAAAAATGGATTTAGGTGCTGTGAGTTTTGATATTGAATATTTTAATAGTAGGACTTCTAAGAACCCAAACTTTCTTAAGGAATGTAAATCATCTCCTCCTGCTTCGTTTAAATGCTTATCTGAAAACAAAGCAGGCCGTTTCATTTGCGATACTTGTTGCAAGAGATTTAAAAAACCATGCCTCTTACATCGCCATGAAGTTGTTCATTCATCAGAAAAGCCCTACTCCGTAAGTAACATTTATATCATCTCAAGACTGGAATTGGCTAATCATATAGATAAATCTTTTACATACATAGTGCTCCAAATGCAGTAAACGGTTTACACAGAGTTCCTCATTGCAACGACATCGGGCGGAACAGCACAAGCCTGACAGGAAACGTTACCAATGTGGGAAATGCCCCCTGAGGTAATATACATATTAATACTACAATTAAATACACAGTATGGTTCCATTTGTTCTCATATAGCTTTGGACAAAAAGGCAATTTGAATATTCATGGGAAAAAGGTACACCCGACGAAAGCTATTGGTACGCACGTCTGCGATCTGTGTGAATCTGTATACAGCAACAAACAAAAACTTAGTAGGCACATAAATACAGTACACAGCAATAGCAGTAAACATAAAAGTGCTATTGGGAAATCAAATGATATTGTGCAAGATGATTTAGCGCTAACGCAAAGAGTTTTAGAGCAGCTTAAAACATTTCAAAGGGAAATGCAAGCCTTAGAATCTCAGTCCATGGAAACCACGGACAATTTAGAAAGGCCAATAATAACCGTGTTAAACAGTGCTCACCAAACGAATAAAGGAACACTGCAACATCAACATCATGACTCTGTATCCTCAGTCAATGAAGAGCAAGAATCAGAGTCCTGCACATCTGTGCGGCGCTTTCCTCGTGCGGTTGGCTGCTCGCAATACGAGTGTGAGTTTTGCACGAAGAATTTCCGAAAGTACTACGACTACGTAAGGTTAGATTACATTTTTGAATTAGTATTACATATGTAATTTAATATGTAGTAATGTTCGATCAATACTTAAGACATCACAGGGTGCATACACGGGAGAAGCCTTACAAGTGTGCATTTTGTCAACGATACTTCAGCACCAAAACGAAAGTGCTAGATCATTCAAAGATACATCGTTTAGATGAGCATGTAGGCATCATAACCAAACAATATCCCTGTGCAGTTTGTTGCCAAACTTTTAGTTCGCTAAGATTGCTTGATAATCATATGAGGTATATATCAGCAACTAATTTATAAATAACCCGTTGTAATTTGATTTTTTCTTATCCAGCACACATGCTGAGTCTTATATTGTAAAATATAAATGCATGGCCTGTGAGGCTATATTTAATTCAAGCAGCAAGCTTATGTCTCATAAACACCTGAGATCGGATGAGGAAGTACTATTTTTGCAGCAACTAATACCACCGCCAGTAGAAGTACTCGTAAACCCAAATGCCAATGCATC